TGAAAACCGCAGTCTCACTTGGTCCAACATGCCACAGTTTGCAGTGATGAGCAAGACACAGGTGCATCCGAATAACGTTACTGCTGCAACCCCAGCCTTGCTTCCCATGAGTGTGCCTGCCTCCTCTTTCTCTTGTTACTCATACCCTAAGCATTACAGCCACTGTTAAGGACAGGATACCAAAGATTTCCCAGCAAATCTGGCACAAACGTGAGCTTTTGCCAGGCCTATCCCTTTGACCGGGTGTGTAATGTTATGGGTGCATTTTGCATGCTCAAGATGTACACACTGATACTATCAGCACACCTTTATGAGACCCAGAGGGCTGCTGAAAGCCACCCTGCCCATGGGCTGGGCGTAGCTCCTTCATCTTCACTGAACGTCATCCTGTGTGTCTGCATACAGCCACCTGCATGACCTCTAGTCAATGAGATCCTCAGGATGCATCCAGTCTTATGACAACTGATGTGGTTTATCATGGACTCGAATATAGAAAGTACCTATTCTGTGAAAGCCTGAACCCTGCAGCAGAGTGAGGTATGGACTCGGTCTTTGATAACTGAGGAAAGAGGATAAACGGATGGGGTTGCTATCGGTTCAGTGTGGAAAACTGGGCATGGCTGCCACCTCCTGGTGCACGGGGGTGGCTGGCACTCTTTACCAGGGTGTTGGCTGGAGGGATATGCTGCTTCTCGCTGCAAACGGCTCCCGGAGTCTGGCTCTTGACAGCCCCCAGAACATGCCCGTTGAAGAACAAGACACTGACATCATTCCCACAGCTGCACACAGCATTACTCCAGGTCAGTACACAGCGTCCTTGGACATCTCATTGCAGTAATAAGAAACAGATTACCATTAAGAAATGCAAAGACACACTCCAGGCCCTTGCAAATACAAGGGGGATTTTCTAAGCACGTCTCCTCTCCCTGTTTGCTCTCAGTTCCTCTCTCACATGCTGGTACTTGGAAAACAGGACAGAAAAGGGCTTCAAGGTCATGGCAGTCCAGTCCCCTGCTACTTGCCCTTTCAGTGGCTTTTAGCCGAGATGTATTCCAGCATTGTCCTCTAGCTCACATAGTTTTTTCTCCTCACCCCGGTGCTGACCCCTTGGTGTTTCTGTGAGCAGAAATGTAATTGTTTAATCACATATGTATTAAATATTTGCAGCGATGGAACTCAGATTCGGTTCATGGGAGAAACATGGAGGGGTTTGGCACCGAAGAGACCATTTGTTCTGACAGCGCTAGCAGTGATAAGGAGAGCATCTGAAGGGGAAAGAGAAAGTGGGTTGCATCATCTCTCACTCTGCCTTGTTCATCATTTCTGCTTTATCAGGTGCTCTCTTGCTCCCTTAGAGATAGTACTACACATTACAGGACCATAGAATCATAGAATCATAGAATGGTTTGGGTTGGAAAGGACCTTAAGATCATCTAGTTCCAACCCCCCTGCCATGGGCAGGGACACCTCACACTAAACCATATCACCCAAGGCCTCGTCCAACCTGGTCTTGAACACTGCCAGGGATGGAGCATTCACAATCTCCCTGGGCAACCCATTCCAGTGCCTCACCACCCTTACAGTAAAGAATTTCCTCCTTATATCCAGTCTAAACTTCCCGTTTAAGTTTTAACCCATTACCCCTTGTCCTATCACTACAGTCTCTAATGAAGAGTCTCTCCCCAGCATCCCTATAGGCCCCCTTCAGATACTGGAAGGCTGCTATGAGGTCTCCATGCAGCCTTCTCTTCTCCAGGCTGAACAGCCCCAACTTTCTCAGCCACCACTACTCCAAAGTTCTTGCTTAATGGACTAGGATTGCTGCTGAGCAAATGGGCACATTTCTGGTTCACCCCTCCGGCCCATGTTAATTTGTACCAGGTCAGGGACACAGGACCCTGATTACTCCAGCTGGAGTTGTTACAGCCTCCACAGAATGGTGTCTCTGCTTTCAGCTGCCTCTAAGACCCTGCTTACTTCCTCTTCCGGAGCAGCAGTGTAGCTGCTTATGCTTCAAACAGGGCTACTGAATACTTAGAAACTACATTTGGCCTAGGAAGAGCTGAAGAGGACTGGAGCCTGTAAGTGTGTCAGGCAAGGCAGTATTGCGTCTTCTCACTTTGTTCTTCTCTTCCCTAGCATTTCAGTTCCAGGAACCCGCTGTTGCCGTCTTTCTCTTCTGGGACTTCTAGCAAGACTGATCAGCACTTCTGAGAAGGAGAAGCAAACAAGCAAGAACTTGGACAGAAAAACAGATAATTACACAGGATAGCAAATGAAAACTTTTGTTTTGGGGGTAAGAGTCAGAGAATAAATAGCGCAACTACAGGGAGAAAAGGGGAGATAAGGCAGGACATCCCTGTGCAGGTACCCACTGCTCCCTCAGGAGCCAGTGGGCTCTTGCCAATATTGCTTTGAGATAGGATGATGGAACAGGAGTAGGCCCAACAGTGTCTAAGATGTGTGATCGAAACTCAGCAGGTTGCATACCCATCTTGTACTCTTGCTAGTGCTGACCTAATGTTATTAATCACCAAGGCATTCCTCACAACCTGAAGAGAATCACACCTACTGCACCCACCTCTCTGAGAGAAGCTGCACTGAGTTAGAGATGCAGAGACCCGTGTTAAACGAAACCGAGGAGCCTTGTGTCCTCTGTTGTTCTGCTATATATCCTGACTTCTCCCTTGGCCACCACCCCACCCTCATCTAAGGCCCTCTGAGGAATATTAGCTGGAGTCTAAAGCAAGGATAGGTTACCTCTTGGTGTGTCAGGAATAAGCCTTCTGTTCTGCAGTAAAGGCACTGTCCTCTACCTTGACTGCAGGAAAACTCTTTCACGGTTGACAGTTCACTGAGATGGGCCTTGGACTGACAGGAGCAAAGTTGGAGGATTCACAGCAGGGTCTGTGCTCACTCTCAGATGAAGCTGCAGGAGAAAGCAGTTAATTTGGTGCAGGTCACCTTACTACTGCTATAGGATCAAGATGAAATTTGGGCTGGTATATGCCTTACTGGATTGCTAGTGCTTTCTCACATAAAACAATGAAGTTGACACACCCCTAGCTTCTGGTCCTTCTAATCTCCTTCACTGTCCTGGGTTATCTGCAGCAGTCAATTTTCTCCATCTTAGTAGCTGGTGCAGTGCTGTGTTTTTGACTTTGGTGTGAGAACAGTGCTGATGACACGCTGATGTTTCTGGTTGATGCTAAGTTATGCTTACCCCGATCAAGGACTTTGCAGTCTCATGCTCTGCCAGCAAGGAGCGATACAAGAAGTCAGGAGGAAGCAGAGACAGGACACCTGACCCAAACTAGTCAAAGGGGAATTCCATACCACAGCACATCATGCCCAGTATAGAAAGGGGGGAGTTAACCAGAAGGCCCACATTGCTGCTCAGGCCAGACTGGGTATAGGTCAGCAGGCGGTGAGCAATTGTATTGCGCATCACTTGTGTTTGTTGTTTCCTTTTCCCTTTCTAGTTTTATATTCTCTCCCCTTATTATTTCCCTTACCATTATTAAAACTGGGCTTAAACAACGACATTCACCTAGTGCTACTTACTGAAGTCTCCTCTTTTTTGTGTCTTCTCAAGTGAATTCTCTCCCATCAACCCACCTTCTCCTAATTCAAGTTCACGTCTTCTTTAATCTCCAGGCAATGTCATCATCCTACTCCAGACAGCTGGGCCATCCAATCTCCCATCTTCCTCCAGACAGTTGGAGTTTTAGGTACACTGAACTGTGACATCTCCAAGATAAAAGTCTGACCTTATTCTAAGGTGCAGGAGCATAGTGACACCTACCAGCATTTCTAGATTGTTTCACGTGAACTGGCAATGTGGCAGTAATTTCCACACTGTGATGGGTAAAGGCTTCTCTGTGCTTTGCCAAGACATGAGCAACATTTTATGATGCTTAGATATTTCTGGCAAGAGACATCAGATGGGTCTTCACATCTTGCAGATTTTCCTAATATTTAGGGTTTCCATTTTGTGACACTACACACTGTTATATAGCTTTGTGCTGCTGTACTTTCTAGATTCTTCAATGGGACACAGCTAACTTCTGTAGCATAATGAAGTTTCAAAGCAAGACACAAGTGAAGGTGTTTGAAGGTATGTATGTTGATTAGGCTCAGATTGAGTTGCCACATTCCACAATGCAGCAGTAACTTACAAGTTATGTTGCTGAACGATTCTGGACCCTGGTGTACTCAACTACATGTTGATGAAGTGATTTGATTTCTTCCTAAGGAAGTAAAGAGTTAACACCAGAATGAACAGAGAGAAGGCATGTGACATCCAGCCTGTTGGAGGTGGGAAAACTTTAGCCATGCTATCCACTGCTTGAAGTAATTCTATTAACATTGGAGGCACTCCCCAGCCAGCTGCACTCAGCTTTAGATACTCTCTCAGACAGCAGGGACTGAAGCTGCTTCCTCAGTTGGCAGCTTTTCTGGCTGTCCTGATTGTCTGCTAAACATCTGGACAGTTTGGCATGGCCAAAGGATGCTATAAGAGTTAATCAACTGCAAGAGATAGGCATGGCTCCTACCATCCCCTGCCTTATTCTTCAAATAATCATTTGTGCTTGCATGTTGCAGATCCCAGCAGCAGCATATTCTCCAGTGGGCTCACACAATGGGCCTCCTGCTTGGAGGGGCTGAGAATCATGAAACATGGGGCTCCCAACATGATTTATGCAGATGTTTTGCATTATTTGCAGTACAAACCGAAAACTTCTGCAAGGCCAAACACACCTCTACCTCCTTTTCCCCCTCTGTCTGTATAGATAACTCAGAGCTTTCAACATCTACTACCTCACCATTCCACTCAGTGTTCCCAGCTGGAAAAGCAGAGTTTTTACTGTGTTCCCCTAATTTTCAATGAGCAACTAGGACTTCAGAATGTGGAACTGCAAGGGAAGGATGTGTGCCCAGGAACTGAAAAAGAAAAGCAAAGTTTCCACAGAGCTGACCTTTTCTCTTTTATTCTATTGTTTCTAAAGTCATAAAAATGGGGAAAATAAACCCTTAAAATGAAGCAATATAATCCTTAATAATATTAATGTATTAGACATTAATAAAAGCAATAATGTAACAATATTACATAAATACTGTAATAGTATGGTGTATTTTCTGAAACGTTATACACATAGCCATATAAGTGAGATTCATAAGAAATTCTCAAAATCAGAATGCATTGTTCTGATTGATTACTTCTTTGGATCAGATCAGAACATGAAAGGTGTTACTCTCTGTAACAGAGTACCCTGTCCTGCAGCCTCATGCAGACTTTCTGATGGTTTCTCATATGCTCCTTCTGCTGTGTCAAATAGTGGCAAAGCCCAGCCATTGATGAGAGCTTTCTCTGGTAGTAGTTTGAGGCTCATAGTTGAAGGCTGCAGCAGAAAATACTGTCGGAGGCATGCTGCTGCTGCTTGTTAGTATTCAGTTTGACAGCATTGGAGGAAGTCCCTAGTAGGAAGAAAGGCACATGAACATTAAAAATTAGATGCCAAAAGCTTAAGCTTGTCTCTTCAGCATGATCCAGAGTTTGAAAATACATCTAGTCCAAGAGATCACTCCGATCCACCTTCAACAACTTAGATAATCTCCCTTGGGACACAGCTTTCTAGACAACAGCGTAGCACCCCAGAATTCACTTTGCTGTGTAAACCCCTCCTAGAAAGACAGACCACTCATAAACAGGAATATTTAAAAGGTGGCAAATTGCACAGCTGAATCCAGGGGAAGTGGAGATAGATCCTGTGGAAAGGCAGAGTTTTGGGGGGTAAAAAGGCCCTCAAGAGGTCTCCAGCCCAACAACAACTTTGTGGCATGGCTAACTGCAAAGCTTAGAGGAAAATCCTCATGTCTCCAGGGATGGAGGTCTGACAGGGATGCATGGAGTCTCTATGGACACCTGCTCCAGTACAGCACTGCTGTCAGGGGAGACTTTTCCTTCTGTCCAGCTGGAGTTTCCCTTGTCACAGCTGGTGCCTTTTGCCTCATTTTCCCTCTGTGCAGCACTGAGGAGAGTCTGGTCCTTTCTTCACTGCCTTTATGTAGTGGAAAACTGCAGCTAGATCCCACTTCGCGTTCTTTTTGTTAGGTCTAACAAAGCCAATTCTTTCAGCCTTTCTCTGTAGGGCAAGTGCTCCAGCCTCCTTATCATTGCAGTTGCACTCACCAGACCCTCTCGAGTTCCTTTGAGTCTTTCTTCTGCCAGGGATTTTACATAACAGTCTGTATTTCCCTGGAGCATGTGCCTGGAACTAACTCACATTACACCTCTGCGTAATTAGGACCATGGGGCCAAGTGCTCACAAGCAAATAGACCTTCCCATCCCTTCTGTAGAGGATTGGTGGTTAGTCAGAACTACTGATAATGGCCTTTGTTTACCTTCATTTTAGGTGTGGCTTGAGTTTGGCTGAGACTGCAAAGCAGTTGAGCAAGTGTCTAATTTTCAGCATGGGTGTCACAGTCCGAGCTTCCCAGCCACCGGGACTCAATAGTAATCAACAAGGCTGCCAGGGGCATAGGGAGGGAAAGGCCATTTGTTAACTGGCTCTTTAAAACCAAGATGTGAAGGGCTTATTCACCTTGTACCCAAGCAACTCTGCTGAGTGGGCTGTAGTTTGTTAGTACTCACAAGTGTTTAGCAGGAAGCTCTGTTCAGCTCCGTAGTAAGCATCACACTGTACATTTGATTGTGCATAAGTTGCTAGACTATTCAATCATCTCAGACATTAGGAGACTTAGGAAGGCTGAAAGCCAAGGAAAAAGTATCTCCTGAGCAGTTCCATTGCATTAACTACTTTGTTAGATCAGCTAACTGATGGATAATGCCACTGACTGTGTGTGTCCTGTCACCTGAATGTCTTATTCAGATACTTAGAAAGGTCAGGTCCTGAGGTATTAAAAAAACTATGTAAAGTTTGAGGTAGATAGAAGTGAAATGAAGTCTAATGTGTACCTTTTTCCCACTCAGAAATAAAAAATTTATAGCATCTCACAAATAAGTTAGTTTTTCTCTTTCTAGACTCTAAATTCCTGTCCATATTATGTAGTTCTATGCATCCCTTCCTCTGTCTTCTGCTGTCCATTCTGCTAGCCCCTGCTCTACATATGGGACAAGTTCAAGCAAGAACTGGCTTGCCCGACAAGCAGTGGCTGAGCCAGGAAATTAACTCCAGTCCCGGTTTTCTCCCCTGTTCTCTTTCTTGTACAGTAGGTAATCAGGTCATAAAAATAGCTTCTGCAGTTGTATGGATTGCAAGAAATAAGGAATGCAGATCTCAGTCATATGATACTCTTATGTGCAAGTTCTGATCCTGAAAGAGAATCCACCCATCCAAGCTTTTGAACTTGCTCAAAAATCAACTGAAAGTAGTGACCCTGTCCTGAGAGGCAAAAAGAGTCTGCTTGAATCATGTTTACATAGCTGAGGGAGCTTTTGGGATCAAAAAGTTCCAGTAAGCTGCAAGCTAATGTACTTGTAGCTGACCCATGCAAAGGGTTGAAATAATTTCTCTTTTCTTTCCAAAAAAAACCCTGGGATTATTGCTAAATCTCTTCTCTACTCCTGGCTACAAAGCACAATGTAGCATCATAGTCTTTGGAAATCTCTTGCCACTGGGCTTTCTGTTCATGCAGCATCAAGCCCATGCTTATTTTTCCTACTATCATTTCTGTTAGCACCATTGCCAGGATACTTCAAACCTTTTCCTAAGATTTTGCATTACTTTTTACTCTCAGTGTTTTCTTCAAGTGCCTACTAACCAAAAGGATATGACAGAGCTCTGTCCAATTCAGAAAGATGTATGGAGCGAAACTCCAGGGCCAATAATCATCTTCTCCATCTTGGTATGCAACAAATCTTTTCCAGTAGTAATTGTAATCTGAGAAGAGAGAGATCCGGTCACTCTTGACATAAGGCATACCCAGTTCCTTCTTCATGAATATGCCAGTGAGTCACTGCTTTCTCAGCAAGAAAATGGTAAGAGGCAGGCGACAGATATTCATCTGAGGGCATTCATGCAAGGGACCAACGATGACTTGCAACGACACAAATTAAGTTAGTAGAAAGGGAAACCAAAATTCTACAAGTAGCAATATGTTTAAAAGGGGGAATTGCCAGGGAGAGATCACTATGGTGTCTTGGGCAACCCCTATCACAGATAGCACATCAGGCATAAATACAGAGCATGCTGGCCAAGGGAGAAGCAGCCAGCGAGTAGCAGGCTGCTTCTCTGGAAAGGACTGAAAAGGCAGGTGACACATACAACCAGGGCTGTTCAGGCATGCCTTTTGGCAGACTTGTGATTGATCACAACAGCTTTGGGTAAGAAAATAAGCTTGTTGTTTTAATCTTGAATCTGTCTGACATCTCAATGGTCAGAGAAAACCTGGAATGAACACCCTAACATTTAGAAGTTTTGTATTGATCTTACTGTTAATAGGATGGCCAGAGATTCTGTCACTGCTTTGGTGGTATAATCACAGAGACAGGCTCCCCAAGACAAGCTATGTCCTTTAAGTTTAAATTTAACCTGGTAGATTTTTAGATCCACACTCCAGTACCAGACAGGTATGTGAGATTCATCTTTTCAAATGTATATTCCTTTCTCTGAGCTACTTGTCAGGACTATTTTTACAGCCAAATATCAACAGGCAAGCAAGACATACATATAAAAAGGCACACATGCAAGACGTGTCCTCTGTGATGCACCATCTGAAAGTCTCCTTTAGATATGTGCCCTTCTCTTTTCCAGCTATCAAAGGAAACCAAGTACTTGCTGCATCTGCATATATGTACTGGGAAGGACAGGTTCTATCTTACACTCAGGATTTTTCACTGTATGTAAAGGATGCATGGAAGGCTAGAGAAAGACGTAACTCTCCTTGTGCTGAAGAAGAAATAAGGCACAAGAGAATGGCATTTTGCATTCATTAGTCCTCCCCAATGTCATTCACTATCACTATTGCAAAACACAACTGCTGAGAGTGCATATAATCCCAAAACTTTCAATCCATAAACAAGGAGTAGTTGGGTTACCTGCAAAATTCATGATACGTATATTGACTCTATTATTTGCCAGGTTCCAGAGACCTTGCCGGTTACGGTTATCCAGATGCTTGAACAGCTTGGCTGCATATATTTTCAAGGTCACATTGGGGTATCCACTCAGGAAATCCAGAATTCTTCTGGAACATTTCCCGCAGGGTGTAGTAGATAGGACCCAGGTAATGGAGCAAGAAACTGATGGATTGGCCTTGAAACAGTTTTCCAAGAAGTTGACTTCAGCGTGTTGGGTGGAAGTGTTTGAGCACCAGTTCCTCCAGACGGTACCTCTGCTCCACCTGATTTCATACAGCAGGCACACCACCTTTGGATGTCGGTTAGGCAAATAATTTCTTTTGAAGTCCTCTGGCTGTATCTTCCACCTGCGACAAAGGTACCAACAGTACAACCATCCCCACGCTATAGCGGTGTTTGGTCCCATTGTTACCTGCTCTCAACATCAGCCAAGCTCCCACTCTCAGCCTTTCCCATCACAAAATGACAGATGGAAGAATGTTGCAATCGATCTAAATCTGGAATTCGGAATTTAATGAAGGGTCCAAACTTTTTCCCCTAAAGTGGCCTTGGTGAAACACCCATAGCACTTCCATGATTGATCTTGGGAAATTCAGCAACCCCATCACCACTCTGAGATCAGCACTGGTCAAAGCAGTGAGACAACTGGAAAGGAAGATCAAGGAAAGGGATGATAAGAGGAAAGCAGGGCACAAGGATTCTTTCCTTTGCCTGACTCTGGAAATTGCCATGGATTCCAGGAGGCACACATGGATACAACTGCACCACTTACCTTTGGTTGTTCTGTCTGGGTGCAGGATCTATATAAAAAAGATTTGTGAGTCATTTGGGTTAGTAGGTCAGAAAACAAAATTTCATTCACATCTCCTGTCCCGGCCCATTTCAGTCTATGCACTCCCTGACTAATGCAACATCAGGTTAACAAAAACATTTATATTTTGAGGCTGGACCTCAGACTCAAGATACAGTAATGCATTCAAAGAGGTAAGACACACAAATACACAAGTGCCTCCTGCGTATTTTCATGCGTCAATATACACACTTGTCTGTATTCACCAGTTCCTTAGATACAACTATAGTAAATACCTACACTGGATATGGAGAAATAGACCTGCTTTTCACATACATGTACTTACCTCTATTAGTGACAGCAGCCATGGATGTTTCCAGATTGGTCTGTCGTCTCTTGGGTGATGGATGTCCTTTTATTAATCTTATGTTGATTTTCAGTTTCTATTCCCCAAGGCTGAACTTTGGATGTTAGCGATGTTATTCAGCTGAATATTTCCTCATCGTGACTTGCTTTCATCCAAACAAACCACCCCACTGGGTGAAACTGAAAGTAAGTTCTCCAAAAGAGGGTGAGTCCCACTCGAAAGTGGATCTGGGTTGTAGACAAGCATGCCTGCCAGGAGCTGGAATTAAGAGGTGAGTTGCTTTTTTTGCAGTGAAGAACAGAAATTCTGTCTCTTCATTATCACTAGCCCCAGGATAGAAAAGCGTCGCTTCTCTAGTCACCCCAGTGCACCAAGAGAGGAAGAACATCTACATAAATGGCATCAAGTCACAGAGCCGGGGCATGGCAGATGATAACTTTTATGGCATCCAGGTATTGACAGCAAGTTGGGCAGAACCCGGCGGAGAGAAGGAAACAGAAGACATCTGCAAAAGCTGGTGATTCTGTGGGTCTCCTGCAGGTGGTGATGGTTACTGCCATTTCCCTTCATGGGACCATCCTCTGAAGTTTCAAGGGCCACTCATACACCCTTGAACAGGGGTCCTCATGAGGGCAAGGAAAACCCTCAATGTGGGTGAGGACCACATTGTGGTCAGCTACTAGGCAGACACTTTCAGGCCAACTCTAAGCAAGCTGTCCAGCATCCAGGAGATCTATGGCAGTGAAGAGCTTGTTCTGTGCAGACACCCAGGTACTTACGAAACTTCACAACTGAGAAGAGGACTGTATTCATGTGGGCACCCTGACAGCAAGACCTGAGCCAGCTGGTAAGTACCTGCAGAAGCTATTGGTCATGACAGAGCAGTGCCCTGATGTAAAAAGAATAGGCTTTTTCCAGTGCCCTGAGAAATCTGCTCAGCGTTATGAATTGGGTAACACCTTCCTGTGATCTATTCCATAACTCACACAAGGTGCAGCAAAAAGTATTTCCTCTTTAATCTGAAAATGAGTAAAACAATGCTAGTTGCTGGTGAGAAGCTTTTCTCTTACTGATACACCCAAAACTGGGTTGCAGAACAAGGGGTTTACAAAGATATGGCGTATCTAGGTATGATTGTGCTCAGTCTTTATCATTTACAGTTTACTCTGGTTTTGTGACACAATTATTTTGTGGCCTGATGCAAGCTGCAGAAGTGGATCCTTGGTGAGCCATCGTCAGGTAATGTGCACTCCCTGAGGACAAAGCCATTGCCTTCCTCAATGCCAAGTCTGGCTTGGGATTGTAAAGCTAAGGGTGTGATTTATTTGCATTCTCAGAGGCAAGCCCTCAACATTCTATTGTCAAAAATACTCAGTTTCCTGCAAGGTCAGAACAAAGAGAAGTGAACATGAATGCTGGAGTACAGAGGGAGGAGGGTTTCAGGCACTGGACAGACTATCTGTGGAGAAATCTAGTCATGGCAGGTCATGGGGCAGCAAAGCATCGGCCTTCAGGGCCTCTTCAGCTGCAAGGTCACCAATCACATCACAACACAGAATTGTTCATTCCTAGTGGCTGCATTAGTTGATTCCTTAGGAAGAGTGAATGGGATCAATTCAGACACCTAGAGATCTCTTAAACAAATAAAATAAGAGTTTGACTAATGTGTATTGAGTTCACTGACATGATACTTAGTAAAGCTAGAAATGCAGGTCGAAGGAGGTGATCCTGCCCCTCTACTCTGCACTCATGAGAACCCACTTGGAGCACTGTGTGCAGTCCTGGTGTGCTCAACATAAGAAGGACATGGAACTGTTGGAACAAGTCCAGAGGAGGGCCACAAGGATAATCAGGGGACTGAAGCACCTCCCGTATGAAGACAGGCTGAGAAAGTTGGAGCTGTTCAGCCTGGAGAAGAGAAGGCTGCGTGGAGACCTCATAGCAGCCTTCCAGTATCTGAAGGAGGCCTGTAAGGATGCTGGAGAGGGACTCTTCATTAGGGACTGTAGTGATAGGACAAGGGGTAATGGATTAAAACTTAAACAGGGGAAGTTTAGACTGGATATAAGGAGGAAATTCTTTAATGTTAAGGGTGGTGAGGCACTGGAATGGGTTGCCCAAGGAAGTTGTGAACGCTCCATCCCTAGTGGTGTTCAAGGCCAGGTTAGACAGAGTCTTGGGTGACCTGGTTCAGTGTGAGGTGTCCCTGCCCAATGGCACGGGTGTTGGAACTAGATGATCTTAAGGTCCTTTCCAACCGAAACTGTTCTAGGATTCTATGAGACTGTAGTATTCTCTTAATTTCCTTCTCTCTGCAGTAGATATTTACAAATATGTAGTTGCGAATTAGGTTTTTAGATGCTTAGTCTAATTTACAAGAAACAGCTTGACTAGCCTAGCAGTGCTTAGTAGCGAGAGTTCCTGGTATAAAACCAGCAATGTGGCATAGAAAGCAGAGAGAGAAAAATTGTTCCAAGCAGAAGCATGAAATTTGCAGCACAACATTTCCAGGTATGTCCAGGTGCTCTATGAGATGGTAGAAAACAAAAGGAAAGTTAAAGAAAAAGGGAAATATCATTCTGACATTCCTGCCAGCCTGTGAGGAAAGGAATCCCTTCCAAATGTGTCAGTTGGTTTAACAAAATCAGAAAGACAAGGCTACCACAAAAGTGAATTTTAAAGTTTCCAGAAGAATTCGCACATCTTGTTTATGGGGATCAAACTTAAGGGCTTCAGAGGGTGATGAAACCTCCAGAAGATGAAACCAACCATGTATCTGGGTGGGAAAACTCTTTCTTGGCCTTTATGAGCAAAAAACAATCCAGTATGTCCTTAAGTTTCTACATGTCTGTAGCAAGGGTTGTGTGTATGAGTAGAATCTCATATTACTCAAACAGGTGTGACCAAAGTGTTTTTTATACTTCTTATGCTGTCAATCATCTCCCCTCACTGAAGCTGCCTAAGATAGAGATCAATGGGAAGGTTATGGCAATGCTGAGCTATCGGTAACATCTGAATATATCTCACCCACTGCAGAAAATGTGTTATTTTAGAAATAACCACCACCCTCAGATGCGTACCTCCTTGAACATAAATGCATTTTGCAGGAATATGTACAGCAAAGGACACATAGAACATTGGACATACACTCACTTATAACTCCTTTACACACCTGGCTCCTTAGACCTTTATAATAATCCATTTTTTGGTGGTAGTAGAGCCATACTGTAAACACTGGTGACACCAACTCCAGCGTCACACTGAAGGATTTTATTCAGCATAGAACACAAATCTGGAGTGAGGTAGAAGTCATAGAAATGGAAACATATGGAAGAAATTGGGAAAAACAGGCAGGTTAGAGAGGTGAAAGAGGATCAGAAAAGGAGAGAAGTTAGATCACATATCAAAGAAGACAAAAAGGGCTTGAATCAGCCAAGGTCCCAATTTGCAGATCTTTGAGGATTTTACAAGTACTGAGCTTTCTATTCTCTGGCTGAATGATCTACTGGAAAGTGGTGAGAATCACAGAGTGGAAGTCTGGAAGCAAGGAGGAAGGCAAAACTTAAATATGACTAAAACCTTGGGGCTCATACCACAGAGGCTTAGCTCTCAATCTCTACTTACAAGCCGCTTCCTGGACTTAATTTGTAATGGCAAATTTGAGGTTAGTCCAAGTGTTCTGCTGCTGGCACATTTGACAGTAAAAGGAAAATCCAAAGCATCTTTGTTTGGATTTAATGGAGATGTCTTAGTTGATAGCTGTATTTTTATTGGAGAATTCTCAGTAGATATCTGTATTTTTACAGAAAGAAGAATCCCAGAGAGCCTTTTGATATCTACTCTGTGAACTTCAAATTTAAAAAAGGGCTAAAACATGTCTTTGTGTGTGTATGAATACATATGTATGAATACACACACAGATATTTACAAATCTATGTATGCATAATAATGCAATAATGCATATAAAACCAAGCTTGTAGATACACAAATTCACGTCCTTAGCAGTATATCGGTTTACAACTCAGTAGCCCATGACAGCAGTAGACACACTGACCTATGGCATCTTTATGTCTCACATCACCTTTGCTTTCCTTTCCTTTTCTCTGTAGGTTACACAGCATCGTCGTACCTTACCAAGACTTGTTCAGTTTCTATATGTGGAAACCAAAACATAAGGGGTCAAAGTAACTGCTGACACCTTGCTGCTACTGGGTGAGGTTTTGAGTGACTCTGAACAATGGAACGGCAGCCAGCCACAAGGGTATGCAGGCAGAGCCCTGGACCAGGCAAGGCGGAGAACAGGTAACTGGCGAGACAGACTTAACCTGTGGCTTACTTCAGTATTAGGTTTTTTTAGCCAGACTTGCCAATATCATTGTAATGGAATTCTTTCACAGTAAGTGGTGAGGTTCTAGAAATCAGAGAAGTGGATCAAATGTATTTCATGAGGAGTTAAGTGTGAAAGAAAGAAAAGCTACAAGTGAACAAGTGAAGCAGCTCCCATGGGACGTAAAACCTCCGTCAGAAGCAGAAAATTATCTGTATTTTGGAATATGATTTTCTACTATAAGCAGTCCTTTTACAGTCATCTCACACTACTTTGCATCACAAAAGTTCTCTATGTTTATCTTTCTGATTTTGCCTCATTTCTATCTCTTTGTTTCAATGCATGTACTGTGTCAAAGCACTTGGCAGAACAATAAATACCCCAAACCCTGTGGACATCAGAGTGTCCATATTCACTTTGAGAAGCTGAGTCTGGCCTACAGTTACCACACAACTGTCAGGGTTTTAAATAGCAGGAGGGACAACAAAACCAGGTGAAGTTCACTTGAAAGAAAGCAATGATTCACCTGCTGTTTTTCTACCAATCATACCAGAGAGAGTGTTCACAGCAGCTCTAGGGACTTTCAGTGCTGAGCTTTTCTTTTCCAAGCACTCTGGGATTGCTCATTGGCAACTATATGGTTAAACTGTCCCCAGAATTCATCTATAAGCTGGAAGTAAAGCCTCCATCAGATGCAGAAAAAGCCCACCAGAACCAGGCATTATAACCACTGGGCACCCTCAAGGGTGGAGTTAATTTTCTTCATTGCAGCCCACCTAGTGCTGTGGTTTATCCAGGTGAACAAAACAGTATTAATAATACATCGACATTTTAGCTTATTGCTAAACAGCACTTGCACAGCATCAACGCCTTCTCTGCTTCTGACTTTGCCATCAAGTGAGTAGGCCAAGGATGGTCAATAAATGCTGGTACAACTGACCCGAAGACCTGAAATGACCACAGGGCTCTTTCATATCCCCTAATGGTATGATCAACAATAATATGTGTGGGGAGGGGATTTTTTGCTGAAGTTGCTCTTGCCTGGGGACTGGCTGGTCATCAATCTGCTCATGGTGAGTGATTGCTTCTGCATGATTTGGAGTGTCCTGTCTTCTTTTCCCCTTGGCTTATTCAACTGTCTTTATCTTGGTGCATGAGTTTTCTCACTTCAGCCTGATTCTTCCCTTTCCATCATCCCATTGGGCAGGGAGAGAGGAGAGTAAACAGGTATGTGGTGCTTAGCTGCCTGCCAGGGTTAACCTACTTCACCATCTCATGTCCACAGTAGGATAAAGCTGATAAAGAAGTCTTCAAGTAAGAAGTCTTTGAAAGACTCCAGAGATAGGGGTTTGTTCTGGCAGGATCCTCACGATTCAAGACCTGTGTTACTATGTAGTCTCTCCATCTCAAGTAACACTTCTATCACCAGCATGGAACAGGACTGGGAGACAGGAACCTGCATGCTCAAGTATCAGTAAGTGCTTTATGATATTCCTCATAGCAGCAGCAGGACAATCTCCAGGGAACCACCTATCAGTAGTCTTGATAGCTTTGAACTTGAACAGTCATGATGTGGTTCAGGTGCAGGGGATACCTGGTACAGCTGCGAGATAACCCTGCAAGGGAAGAGATTTAGGGAATGCACCTCAAGAGGTGGGTCCCAGCTACCTTTTCCCAGGTTAAAGCTGTGTTGCTTAGGCCATTTAGCAGTACAAGGAGGAGCCACACCTACTGCAGTGATGGTTATGGATTGTGGTCACTGCATCTGGGTAGATCTTAAGAGAGGCAGGGGATTAAAAGATGCATATGGGGCTAAGCAGTATTTGTCAGCAGCATATGGCAGAAGTGCAGAAAAATAGATGGAAATTGATAGTAGGGAATTATGAGGGTGGAAGGGCAGACCTTATATCCAAAAATCCAGCTGAGCTCTCATGGTTTACTCAAATGAGTACACCCAATGAGGTCAACTGCAAATGCTCATCAGATCCAGCTATGGAATTGGACTGAAAATAATCTTCAGCTACCTAAAGAGTCTTGGCCTTAGTGCTATGGATTAGGTACTCACTGCTCAGGATATTGCTATGGAAACACCTCACTATATGGGTTAGACCAATAACCAAGATGGTTGTTGTAAGCAGAGGGAATTATGACATCATATCTCAGCAATCTACCCTGTCACAATTTTCCTGTCTTAGAGAAGTCATGAATGATGCTGACAGGGAAGCCCTGCCAGACCTTACTATTACAGTTAAGACAGATTGCAGATTTGGATGCTAACACAGTAACTGCTTGTCTTGTAAGATAGGCAGGGCTGCAGGGTAGGGAACATATCCATCTGCACCTCCTTTGCCATAGCCTACCGCCCAGTCCACGATCTACCTTCATCAGAGACACTTAAACTGAGACACCTGCCTCCTACCATAATGGCTAAAGTTCAAGGATGAACCAAGACTTCATTTGGCAGGAAAACTGCTCTTGCTTTAACCAGACCCATGGTAGCAGTGGATGCAGCACAAAAAAAGCAATGCCAGTGCAAAGCACTGGGGCTCTGTATCACATCTCTGGGGTTGCAGATCAGGAAGGAGAGCTGAGCCAGGCTCCCAAAGCCACCCTGGGGACATTAAAGCTCTGCCTGCTCCCTGTGTGTGTTCAAAGCTCTCGGATGCCACAAAGTGACCGTGCAGATGCACAGGTGGGTGGCACATACAGAGAATGCTGGCATAAGAGCTCTGATATGCTGAAGGAGAAGTCCAGGCCAAAACAGTGATGGCGCTCCAACCCCTTCAGTGCCTGACAGATCTGAGCCTCAGCAGGGATGCTACAGGAAGAGAGACAGCAGCTAGTAGCACCTTTGTCCAGTCAGGAAACGCGCTGGGAGGAAAGCAGTGCGTCAGGACACAGGTTTGGGCTAGAAAGATGGAGAAATTGTAAACAGGCCAGGGAGGAATAATAGGGTGCTGGATGAGACCTTACTCTGCATATGATCATAATCTCTAAATGACCGAGTTTAAGCACAGATTTCAGTCCATAGGACACTAAAACGTCACACGTGTCAAACAGGGAACAGAAAGGCTACAGTGCCTAAGGGACTGGCAGTGACAAGACACTTGGGACTGGATTCAAGCCTTTGTTTCTCTGTACATGAGCTACAAGGCATTCAAGTACAGAACATCACCCCTCAGCTCGCAGATCATTTTGCTTGTGCCACATGGTTAGATGGCAGCTCTCCAGACAGCTAAGGCAGTAACAAGAGTATTCTGCTTCAGGACTTGGTTTTTGTCTCTGCTAGTTTGAGACATGGCTTCTGATTTCTAAGTTACTATTGAGAAATATTGTTCAGCTGAATCATTGATATGAAACCTATTTGGTCTCATTTGATATGTTCACTTTTACTATTACATTAGATAGAGCAGGCTGTATTTCACTTCCTCGTTCTCACACACACACACAAAGGGGAGAACTGAGCTGAATGTGAGTTCTCTTCTTGCTTACTCTTTGACCACAGACTGATTTCCTAGGCAAATATGACTAAAGAAAACCAAAACAATTGCTTGAAATAAACTTTTCTTCATAGCATTATAGATAAGCAGAATCTAGACAACTGACCAAGTATCCAGAGCCACTGTTTTCTGTGAGCAAGTCACAGCAGCTCTTGCCAGACACTACCAGGGCACAGCAAGGGCCAGCTACACCCTAAGGGATGAGGAGTCAAGTCAAGCAAGATAAAGGAGACAGTAAGGCAGGAGCCTTGCTAGCCAGGGCCCATCCAGTGTAGCCAGAAAAGGAGAGCAAGGACGGCCCAGGGCTAGCAGCCACGTTCAGCCAAAAGTCCACATTTTTAGTCTGATGAGGCAGATCCTAGGCAAGTCAATCCTCAGGTCGGGATCAGGTCTTGTGATAGCAACCAAGGTCACATACAGGCACAGTGATCACAGGGCTGGTCCACAGAGATGAGACAGGTCTGAGGTCAACACAGAAAATCACTTCACAGGTTAGGAAACAGATCAACAGAATCCATGGCTGGCCATGGGCGTAGACATAGGCATGGGTGTGACAGTGAAGACAGGCACACTCACACCATAGCTCATGCAGGGATTAATAGAGCAGATGTAAGCTTAAATGTAACTCCTGGAATCTACGGGCAGTATGCCAATGGAAGGCCCTAGTGACAGTGGGAGCTAAGGGGGTTTTAATGCTCTCTTGCTCTTCAATGCTAAGAGATAGAGACCATAATAATTGCCTTCAGTATTTATTGTGAAAAAAAATTGGAGTTGTTGCTTGCTTGTGACATAGGATTGTCGCAGCCTTGCTTTGTCCAAGAGCTTGTTACAGTGCAAAAAGCGGCCGAGTGTGGTAAGCTAAAGCCAACGGGACAATGTATACAAGAACTAAACATAATGAGTGTTGGATCAACAAGCAACAGAACCATCCCAAAAGACGCTAGGCAGGTATACTATGATATCATTTGGTTGTCAACCTGTGCCAACAATTAGCTACAAAGACCTTCAGCAATAGAGATTGAGGAGGGGATACTTGGTCCACTTCAGAAATAGAGCTTAGTAGTTTCACATTTTGGTCTTCACATTGTGTTTCTCTTCGGCTCATGAACTTGGGTCGTCAATTTTCTCTGCCTCTTTAAGACCAGCTTGACAGCATCAGCTCCTGAACTTGTAAAGACCCATGTCTAAACAAGAGGACACACCTACTATAAGTGGACATTATTTAGTTGAGGAGTGCTGCCATTTTGTGGGTTACAGGTTGACATCTCTGAGTTTCCATAAGCTAAATTCTCTTCAGGCTGCACTGGTCCAAAACTCTGAGTAATTCTATTGACTGTTAAAAGATTAGCAATTCCAATGAGAGAAGAAGCAGGCCCAATCACAGCTTTAGAGTTAGATGACTATAATGGGTGTAAGTCAATGAATATTTGTTCAAGTCTTGCAAATATAAGTTAGTATCGGGAGTAGGGGATGGAGAGAGGTTCTATTCCCAAGTGCTTAGTACTGACAGCAGGATTCATACCTCTTCACAATACAAAGGAGCAAACAAGGCCTCCCAAATTGACTACTGCAAGTGATAAGGCTGCATCCTGCACTTCTTTGTGCAGCCAACATGCCTTGTATTTCGAGGAGCTCCCAGTGGATACATCTAGTGGTCCAGTTCCAGCATGGGCTTGCAGATAAAAATATTTTCTTACCTCTTTTAGCCACCTGAGTGGAAATGCTGAAATGCAATGACCATGGACACTGTAATTATCATTCCACAGTCACACCACCCGGTGGATGGAGGGTTTGCTTCTGTTGAATAGAGCATTTGTGGATTTTTTAAGTTACTCTTTTGAGATCAAGCGCTGCTGTCACTTATGCATTATAGCTCCCACTGAGTCAGTGGAAAATTCTCTAGGTTAGCACAGTCTTTCAAATGCAGACAAGTGTTTCAGTGATTAATGATGAGCTGTTAGTATAGCAAGAACTGGCACTTACTGTTATTAATTCCTCAGTTTAAAACAGAAACAAATATTTATTTACATGGCAAGCTGTGAACTTCTGGATCTGCTGCACCACCAGTAAACTGTGGACACAGATGGTAGGACAGGGTCAAAAGAGATCTGCGAAAGTCATGGTAACAAGTCCATAAACAGACATTAAAGGATGCAGGGCTCCCAGCCACAGTCATTGTGGTTATTAAAGTAGTGTGACTGGATCATAATGAACCACAGATAATGGCTAGGCTTGTCTGCTCTCCCTAAAAAACATTTCTTCCTACTAGATACTAAGTAGTCTGGAGTATACTCTCTATCCCAATGGGACATTTTATGTGAGTTTAAGTTCTTTGTTGTTCTTCTTGCAGCATGAGGTAGGAGACAAGGTTAGCTAGGAGGATAGCAAATCTTAAGAGATGTTCCTTTTGGTATCCTTTGCCAAAGAAAGATTCATTTTTCAAGAGTCAAGAAAACAGCCTGTTTTTGTGAAAATGCCTTAGCTGAAGTTACACTGAATTAACCAATCATTTGGGTGCTAATTTAGCAGTCCTTTTCCAATCAGTGTATGCACCACTGGGCCATATCAGAGGAAGAACAAGGTTAGCAGAATATTGGACCTGGGACACTGTTCCTAATTCTGACTGTTACCTGCCTCCATTTCCACATCCAGAAGTTTTTTATCAGGGATCTTTAGCACTGTCATCAAGACTCTGAGTTGAAAGCTGTCTATCCAAGATATTGGTAGCTTTTGGAAACTGGAGAATGTTAGCAACATTTTATGATTATCTTCTACATACAAGCAGTAAGGCAGCTGGCCATATTCTGTGGGTGAAATCTCTCAGTAGAAGACCAGAAATAACATTTGTCCATTGCTTGAAGGGTCAGTCACCTCACAAATAGGGACATAGACAAAGCAGAGGTGTTTAATGCCTTCTTTGCCTCTGTTGTTAACACCAGTGGTGGGCCCTGGGTCCCCTGGAACCCAGTGTTGGAAGGCCATGACTGCAGGATGATAAACTGCCAGACAGCCCTCAACTTGTTTGAGACTTGCTGCTCATCTAACTGGGTGTGCAGAAACCTACGGGGCCCAATGGGATTTAACCCAGGGGACTGAGAGGGGTGGTTGGCTCCACTACTTTTCAATGGTTTTGGAAGTCTGGAGAGGTCCCAGTCATCTGAAAGCTCCAAATGTTGTCCCAGTTTTCAAGAATGGTGAGAAGGAAGACCCCGGTAATTATAGTACTGTCTGTCTCACTTCAGTGCCTGGTAAAATTATGGATAGGGTTATTATGGGAGTTACTGAAAAACACTTGAGAGACAGTGCAGCCACTGGTCATAGCCAGCGTGGGTTCATGAGCAAAACATCCTGCTTATCCAACTTGATTTCCTTTTATGACAAGGTCACGCATCTAGTTGACCAAGGGAGGCCAGTAGATGTGGTGAGTTTGGATTTTAGCAAACCTTTTTTATATTGTCTCTCACAGTATCCTTCTGGATAAACCATCCAGCACACAGTTAAACATACACTAGGTGAGCAATTGGCTGATGAGTCAGGCTCAAAGGGTTATAGTAAATGGGCTGTAACTGTTTCTGGAGTCAGGCTCCTTGAGAAAACAAGTGCGGTTCTCAAGGGCTCAATTTTAAGTCCACTGCACTTTAATGGTTTTATAAATTATCTGGATTAATTATCTACATTAAGTAAGTTTGCCAACGATACTAAGCTAGGAGGAGCTGTGGGCACCCTCGAGGACGGAAAGGCCTTAAAGAAAGATCTGGATGGACTAGAGAGCTGGGCAAATACATGAAATGTAACAAGGGCAACTACCAGATCCTCCACCTGGGACAGGGTAATCCTGGTGCTGATCTCCTCTCTCTGGTGTCCATCAAGAAGACATGAGGAAATGGAATGAAGCTGCATCAGGGGCAGTTCAGCTTGGATATTAGGAGAAGGTTCTTCACTGTGAGAGAGGTTGGTCACTGTATCCCCAGGGAAGTGGTCATGGAAGCAAGCCTGTTAAAGATTTCAAGGAGCATCTGGATGACACTTTTAACCATATGGTTTAGTTTCAGGTAGTCCTGCAAGGAGCAGGGAGTTGGACATGATGATCCTTATGGGTTCCTTCCATATATCCTTGAGATATTCTGTAATTCTATGATTCTATAAATGGAAGATCCTGAAATTAAAATAAAAATATGTAATTAAGATCCTTTAACAATTGCACTTTGGACTTGCTGTGATTTGAAATGGATACAGCGGAAGTCTATATTGTGATAGCCCAGAATATTTCTTTCCCACAGATGCCATATGAAATGGATTTCCTAGATGTTCAGTGATCTGCTTAGCCATAGATTTCTCTCACTCTGTTTCACTAAATATGTCATTTGTTAGAAAGCATTTCTAATACATTGAAATCAAAATGCTGCAGATCTTATATTAGTTTTGCTATCTTTTGGTACACAGTCCTGCCAGGCCAAGGATGTGTTGGATTCATTCAAGCAGGGTCTCTTGTCTCCAGGGTTACAAACTTTCAGCATTATTGGTGAACACTCTCTTCTCTATCCTGCCTTTCAGGAGGTCTGAAACAAATAAAAAACAAAGGCTGGATTTTCCCAGGGCACAGACGTTCTCTTTTGAACAGCTTTTCCCATTTTGCAGGACCTGTATCCTTCAGACTAGTCAAGGAAGTTGCTGAAACAAATCTGTAAGGGACCTTAATGAAGTACATAGGGGCCCAAGTGACTGGGAAGAGGTATCAGACCAGCACTGATGCTAACAGAAAGTGGCTGAGCAGCATCACTTGGTGAGCAGAAACCCATGCTCAGATCCAGATTAAAAAGAAATCTGGTGGAGAGTTTCTGGGTTGAGAACTGAGTTTCAGCTGATAATCAAGGGATTTCCCACCCTGGAGCCTGAAGGAGAAAAGATGCACTCTTAGCCTTTGCTGCATAACACAACTGAAGAAAATCCACAATGCTTCTCTCCCAGTGGGACAGGACAGTTCCTATGATTTTACTATATTATTTTTCCAAAAGTATGCTGCAGCACTCTTTAAACTCTGTCTAGATATGAACTGCTTCTTTCCTGCTCTTTACAGCTCAGTGACCCCAGACTGCATGCTATTTCACAAGGCTCCCCCTGTCCCTCAGACTCTACTAACCTCAAAGACGCCCTGGAGCTTCAAACGATTCTTAGTTATCGCTGATTGAAAGCCCACAGTCCAGGAATCATCAGCAGCATTTCCTCGGATGAAGTTTTCCCAGCAGGCAATATAGTCTGGAGAAATGAAAGTAAGATGACTAATCCAAGTTTATTCAGATCTCAAACAAGCTCAGGGAACAAGACTTTTTAACCTCTTCCTTGTGCCCATGACACAGTGACAGCTTGGCCATGGACAGGATGGATACTCTCCACTCCGTATTTGGAGCTAATGCCATTCTCTCTGGGCACCTTTTTTTTTCCTCTCTTATCTTCAACCAGACTTATCCCAGCAGCTGCATCCAGTCCCTTAGGACGAAGGAAAAGCGCTATCTCCCATCTCTTCAGGAGTGACAGAAAGATGGTATCTCTAAACAAGAGAGAATTCTCATACAGGTCTAGTGGCTAAGAGTCCTGCCCCCCTTCTACAGTATTTTAACATCTTTTTTTTTGGGATGCAACAGTCACTAAATGGTGATGGATGTGCCCCCAAAGAAGCTGGACACTAGATACAGAAGTAAGTCCATGTCAGATTCACCCATGCACAAAGTTCACCAGTTCACCCCTTCCCAGTCCCACAAAGCATGGGAAACCTTGCCTTTAATTTCCATGACAGAAATGGTTACATCCACTGAGCTCACAAGATTCTTCAGATTTTGGCAGATTTCTCTCTTATCTATGTAAAAAAGCCGTGCTACATATATGCGTATGCTCACATACGAGTGCTTCTGTAAGAAATTCAGTATTTTATGGCAGCAGTCCTCACAGGGGCTCCAGGACAAGTACCAGGTGATGGAACAGTTGACATTATTGTATTTTCTTGTCTGAAAGATCTTCTCCAGGAAGTAGACTTCAGCGTGGTAATGATAATTTTTGACCCAGTGTTTCCAAGGTCTGCCAGTCTCACCCCACTTCAGTATGCATAGTAGGTATGCATCCCGTGGAGCTTTACGAGGGTCAAAATGATGTTTTAATACTCCCTTAGATATATACATGCTGAAAGAGAAGAGAAGTTTTGAGGAATCACTCATTACAACTTTGTTTTCAGTAGTTCTCCAGTACAGTAAAAAAGGGGGAGGGTGGAAGAAATGAGAGGAGAAATTAGAAGGGCAAAATATGAGAGAGCAATACAAAGACAATGGAGATGTAGGCACCATGGCCAGGTAAGGGAACCAAACCCTAAACCACCTAATCCTCCCTTTGTCTGCAATTGCATGCAGAACTTTCACCTCCTCACCTCTCCCTATGGCTGTCCTCTTCCCCACTAGCATGAAGATTTCTAAAAGCTTTCCGTATCTTTTTAAGTGTCAGACATTTTTCCAGGGCTTCTATATAGCCCTTTTTGACACAGGGAGCCACTGTGAATTTTGTAAAAACTAAAAAAAAAATAAAAATAAAAATAAAAATAAAAGAAAGAAAGAAAAATAAAACCACTGATAAATTATGAAGCTGAGTATTCCTCCTTATTGTATTCTCCTGCTATTTGTATTTTTGTAAGGATTAGCAGTCAGCACAATCCTATATGACAGAAGGCATAAGAAGTACTCTATATAAAAAGATGCAGCTCCCAAGAATGGCATTTTCTGATAGACAGTCCATTTCTTAGATCCAGATCTATGCAGTTCAGAACAGACCCCTAAATATTGCCATTTAAATAACTGCACAAAGATTGCCAGTGTTGACTGTGATTGTATCCTCTCTATCACTAATTATCCATGATACATAAATAATATTTGAAGTCACTGTTAGCATGTTTGTAGACTTTGTACAATTGCTTTATGCAGAGATTTATATGAGAATGCACTTCAGATACATATATTCCATATTCGAGTAATTCAGAATAAGAGTAGACAACTGAACAGACACTTAAAGAGAAGGAATAAGGCTGTAGGTTATTTCATAGATTAACACCCATCAATAACAAAAAAAAAAACCAAACCAAAGAAACCACTACCTGAATTATGGCAAAATGAAATCTTGCAGATCAAGCAACTGTTACATATTTTTTAGCTACAGGATTCAACAACTATGTAAAAAAAAAATCCCATTTGTCTGAACCACTCAGAAGGTTTTGTCTTCTTACCCTGCCTCCTTCCACATCCCAGCCTCCTACACATAAAAGTACATATGTACATAAACCAACTATAAACCACTGAGTATCTCTGTTTATTTTCACCATGTAAACTCTGTGGTGTATAAACCATAGACACAATGTATGAAGATTTATTTATCAGATTTTTTACTGAATTTATGTAAATGTAGCAAATGTGAATGACACCAAATGTTTCATTCAGAAATATTTTTATTATTATTATTACACTTCATTCCTTTTGTGTTTTGGGGACAGAGAGAGAGAAATGAAGCACAGGCTTAATTATTATTTTTTTTTTCTGTGGTGCTGAAATGGATGTAATTTTTTGATTTCTATAATGTCATTTGAAAGTTGGTGTCTATTAGCTTAAATTTCTTCAAAACTTGATGAGTAGGGAATGTACATATATATGAAATAAGTATATGAAATGTACATGATGTTTGTGTGTGTATATACAAGAAATATAGTGACTGGATGAAGTACACCAAAGAAAATACATTGAACTCCCAATACTCAAGCCCAATCAGTTCATCTAATTCTTACAGAAGACATCTTTAAGTTTTTGGAAACCAGTATTACAATAGATTATAGAGATCTGATTTGTTCAAAGATATCTATAGCTTTTGCCATCTGATTATAGCACACAGACAAGCTAAAATTTTCAGGTCTTAATATGGTCTTAAGCACCCTGTTGCCTGTGTCTTGACTATAAAACATTGCATTTTGGATAAACTATTGCAGTGGGTGTCCTGTGCATATATTCAGGGGCATAAAGCTACTTCTTTAGAACCATCTTGCAATACACTAATCTTCAAGATATAGCCACCTTAAAAATGTGTTAAGCCAAGTGAAATTTATTGTGTAATCAAGTTAATGCATTATAAAGAGAAGTCTGCATTTTTATAAATATCTGCTACAGATAATAGTTGCTATTTTTTAAATAATGTCAATTTAAACAGCTCTAACAGGAGGGCAGATAATAAACTTAAAAAGAGCACAAAACATTCCCACACTACAGAATATATACAGAATCCCAGCACCTATTCCCTTTTGTCCCCAAACCAGTTAAGAAAATACTTAAAATAAGTTGTGAGGTTACAGATAAATCGCCCAAAGCCATGCAATCTCTTTTTTTTTTTTTTAATTTTTATTGTGATCACAATCAGCCCTTGCTGTTCAGCACTGTTGTGTGTAGTACACATATATGCACAGAGCTTAACTCCAAAAAACCCAGCACACAATATCTGGTTCCTTGATACAAAATACGAGACAAAATTTGAGACAAAATTCAGAGTTAACCAATAGTCAGAAAAAGTCCTAAAACTTTTTTAGTTTTCTTTCCAGTTTTGGTTTATCAATCTCATGAAGGTGAACTTGCAACCCTTTCAGAACTTACGAGCTGGAGAGAAATGCACCAGCTATAAAGACTGTGAGTATTAAAGGTGAATTGCACCCAAAAATGTTTAAGAGTTAAGGGAGAAAATGGCAGAGGCATGACAGCAAACATAACTGTCTCCTAGGTTTTATTTTCCTTCCCACTAATACACAGCCTTGAAAATGTATAGACTGATTACAAATATCTCTTAAAATGTGTTATTTGTGCTTTTTTTGTTGTTCCATCATCCATAACGTGAACAGGAATGCAATGAGTTTATCTTAAAGTGTACTAACTTTATGAAAACACCTCCTAAAACTAATATCTCTCTTATTAAAACTTTGTGTAATAAACTGCACCATTACAGGTATTGAAATATTTTCCTTCCTTCCTCTAACACTTTTTATTAGAAGCTATATAAAATTCTGCTTATTGCAAGGTAATAATAGTAATAATGGTAATACATGAAAATAATGGTAATACATGAAAATACACAAGCATAAATGTGTCAAAACTTTAATCTGTGTTTTCCCCCCGTTGCTAACACTTTGCACAGCTGATGCACTTCTTTAGTAAAGTTTGCATTAAAACTTTTTTCTTTCCCCTCTGTTGGACAGAAAATGTCTGTTCTGATACTTCCTGTTTGTTTCTAGCACAATAACCATTTCAAGACCTCAAAATAGTCGAGCAGGGAAGAGGCACTTTTGGATTCTCTTGCTGCCCAGCACTGGGGTGAGCCAGCTCCTGCCTTAGCCCTTCCACAACCTACCCCCACCTTTCCCTCACTTTTATCTATTGTCTTTTGTGCCTGCTGGCTTATGGCTCCAGTGACAGTTTTATGCTGCAGGAACTTCCCCAACAGGCTCAGACTTCGCTGTGGCCCCTTGCCTACTGCAGTTACACCTCGGCTCCCACTCGGGCACACTGGCACCAGTATCGCCCTCTCCCTTCCCCAAGAAAGGCAGAGACGTTGCACAGAGAGAAAGCACACCCCTGGGGTGTCAAAGCAAGGGGTCCCCTTGGGTCGGAGCAACAACAACGCAGAGCTGCAGCTGGGGTGGGGTTTTCTGTCAGCTGTTTTGTTCTTACCCTCTCAGCCTTTCCTTGTACATGTCTTTTCCTCTCCCCGTGAGCCCCCTTTGGTGCTGTCCTTTCTGTTCCTGCAGGCAGGGCTCGGCACACGGCTGACTGCGGAGCACACCTCCAGGCTCTGCTGGCGTCGGGTGCTGTAAGAGGAAAGGGAAAAAAAACTGTTTGGCTGCCGTTGCTACTGCAGGCATGCCCTCAGCAGCGCTCTTCCGTCACCCTTGGGCTGGGGAGTGAGGACTGATACCTGATTCCGGTTAAAAACAGTTGGGCAATGTCTTTGGAGCCTGCTTGTGAGTTTGAAAGCGATGATAATGCTTTGTTGGCAAAACCGAGATCTATTCTTCTGTGCAGGGAACTCCTCCCGGTGGTGCAGCTGTGGTGTGTGGCACGCAGGCCTTTCCTCCAAAGCACCCGAAGCTCAGCACTGCCGAAAGCACAGTGGTTTGGCTTCATGCGTCACAAGATCTTCCCGTGCTGTCAGAGCTTTGTCAAGGACTCAGGTGTTCATAAATACCTCTGATGAGAGGCTTTGCTCACAAGATATTAGCAAAGCTGACCCACCTTCCCTTCCAAACCCAGACAGTCGAGAGTTCCCCCTGTGAAGGAAGAGAGGGGACCATGTATTGGGAGCCTTGCAGAAGACATGGCATTTGAGGAGCTGGTGATCACGTCTGCTCTCTTGGCCCTTGTGCTTAGGGACTGAGAAGCCCAATGCTACCAATTTAATCTGTAATTTAGACACACAGGTATGTGTGGTGCTGTGCTGCATGTGTCATGGTGCGCAAACCCTTTGGCCACGGGAGGAACTTAGCTAGTAGGTTGTAACAGAGGAGAATGCAGGCAGCTCCTGCCTGTACCACTCGGTACTAGTGACTGCACCACTGGCCCAGCCCTGCTGTTATCTTCAAGTGCAGCAGGAAGTTTTAATATCCTTTAGGAACAAGACTACTCCTGTGAGAAAATAGATTCCCTTCATA